CGCTTAACCTAGTATTCTTGGAACCGTCACAACATACATCGCTTGCGACGTCAGAAAACTATCTGAATCAGTGCCGATAAACATCGTGACGCAGCGCAGTCTTTGCACGCGCCGTAGATATTTCTTTTTGGCATGAACCGCTTTCGCATCGACCAGCTGTGGCCGGAACCGGAATAGACGTGTGCTGATTATATGGTGAATCTCGCGGGGCAAGGTCGATACAACCGCTAATTCACTCAAGAAGATCCCACTCTCGATAAGGAATAGGTGCCCCATAAGCTGTCAAGCCCGGGAGGCTGATTTCGTCCCAGGGGGGTTTTAATCGGAGCGCTTCGCTACGAGCTGCGGGGATATTGCACAGTGCGCGAACCACTGTAGCGAACTACTCCAGCGTGCGAGTGAAAACGAAAACGACCTGCTATTGTTAATACTGTGTAACTTATATATTGCAGATGCCGCAATGTACTACAGTCGGACGTAATCGGCGCACTAGAATATACAGAAGATCACGCACTCTTAAATGCCCTTATTCGGATGACTGGATAGTGGAATCGCTTAAAGCGGTAGAAATTAGGGAGAAATCATCGGAAGGTTAATAGCAAGAGACCTATAATTATATTTGCCACGAGGCCCCACCGTGGTGGTCCAGTGGCTAAGGCACTCGGCTGCTGACCCGCAGGTCGCGGGATCGAATCCCGGCTGCGGCGGCTGCTTTTCTGATGGAGGCGGAAGTGTTGTAGGCCCGTGTTCTCAGATTTGGGTGCACGTTAAAGAACCCCAGGTGGTCGAAATTTCCGGAGCCCTCCACTACGGCGCCTCTCATAATCATACGGTGGTTTTGGGACGTTACACCCTACATATCAATCAATCAATTATATTTGCCACGAGGAGATACTTGTAGCTTTGGAGACCGGTATGCCGACTACTGCTTAGTCAGTTTGCGCTGTAAACCAGGTGTCTTAATACATTAATTTTATCGAGTCACTCCTTCGAGTGTTTTTAGATGGCGCGAAAAACGGAGACGACGACGACGACGACAACAACAACAACAAGACAGTATACGCAGGCGCTGTTTTTCATCGTTTATTTCAAGCTGTTGGCTTCTATTTGCATTGACTGTCAACTACATCTGGCAATCGCCACGCAAAAGAGCGCGAAATTTGATCAACTCGCGTGTAGATACTTTTTGGAAATAAATGTTAATTATTTCAGTTTATGAGACGACAAATTCGGAAAACTGGCATTATTGAAACGCCAGTGGTCTGGGTTTGTTGACGATAGTTGGTGTTCGCTCGCGTGTCAAGCACTGCACCGATTTTAACGAGTTGAAGAAAGAACGAAGTAGAGAGAGAAATAGATACAAGGAAAGGCAGGGAGGTTAACCAGACACACGTCTTGTTTGCAACCCTGCACGGGGGGAACAGATAAAGGGGAGGGGCGAGAGAGATAAAAGAAAGGGAAGAAAGATACACAGAATCACGAGCGCACAGGGGGGGCAGGGGGGAGCATACGTGGTCTGCAAGTGGTCGCTCAGATTTGTTGAGTTCAGGTACGTTATAGCGTTTTGGTTGTCTTGCTGAGCCAGCACACGTCCAAAATCCTATAAAATCTTCTGTACGAAAAAAATGGTCTAGGGTCCCGTTGGTGATTTCCCACAATTCCTGTGACTCTGGCTGCCAGATCTTCCCATCCCTCGCGCGATTGTGGACGCCTGCATTCGGAGGCCTTGCAGGAGAGCGCGGCCCTCCTCCTTACTCTTGCAACGCTGGCAACAATGGCGGACAGCCTGCTATTTCACCATTACGGGGTAATCTAATAAGCCACTCCACAAATGAGGCTGCGTGCGCGCCTGCACCAAAAGCCGCGCGAGGCATTCGTGTGAGTTGTGAGGAAAATCCTTTCCAACGACGTTCTGCCGCATCGGTTTTTATCGCGGCGAGGATAATCTTACCGGCGACTCGGCATCCGCAGCCGAATCGAGGGGCAGAAAACGTTACATCAAATCTTGCGCGTTTTAGTCTCTGCACAAGATATTTGGCACAGAGCACAAGGTATCGCGTCTAAGTTTATGCAGGTCTTACATTTTATTTATTCTTTTTTTTAATGTTTGTGTCGTTCCATCCTTCGATACTGCGATTTATTGCGTTGAAGATAACAAATCCGAGTGCTGTTCACGTTTTTTTTTTTCGCGACTATAAGATGCACAACTTGCGTTCTGTACGACTTGCCGGTTATCGAATATTAGCTTCGTGTAACCTTATTTGTTAAACAAATGGCAAGCGAAACGAATTAATAACAATAGTATCTGGAATTTTAAGTCCCGGAACCACGATGTGATTATGAAGGACGCAGTAGTGGAGGGCTACGGAAATTTAAATCATTTGGCTCTTTTTAACGTGCACTGACTTAGCCCAGTACCTTCCGTAATAACCGCTACACCACTATGGTGGCTGTAAGATGAAAGAGACGAATTCAATTAAGAAAATAAACGATGATAAGAAAGCGCTTCACACACACACACGCGTAAATATATATATATATATATATATATATATATATATATATATATATATATATATATATATATATATATATATATATATATATATATATATATATATATATATACGTGCGTGTATACACGGCAGTGCACCCTACTTAAGCAAGAAAGAAGAGTGCAAAATTTGTTATATATCAGACAGATTACGGATTAGAGCAACCAGCGACCGCTACACCCTTGCGGGAGGGTCGAGTGGTTCCAGCTGTAGCTGCATGGTTAAGTTCACCACAGTGACCGCACTGGTAATACGTGTATACCAAATACCGTTGTGTGGTTGGTGCGCAAAGACAGCATTCCTACGCAAAGAGTCGGACTGTCGGACGGAAGAAGGAATACATTGAAGCGTACAATGTGAGCACGCCAACCTCGTTAAATCTGACAGTCGCACTCGCAACGCACAAATCAGGTTGTCATGGAAACCGTAGGAGTAGACGAAGCCTCAGATTTGATAAGAAAACCAAGACACTTATATTCACAACAACGTTGTATATATTTTTATGTTAATGTTGTGGTCCTAGGTAGGCTGGGGGAGGGTCATGTAGCTTGCTTTAATGGCACCTCCGAAAATCGGCTGCGGGGCCTGCAGCTGGGTAGGCCAGATACGAAAGCTTGCCTCCGTATACTAGTAGCCATTATTTTTTTTTCTGGGTAAATGATAAAAAGGATGACGCAAAGATAAAGGTGGTGGAAGAGGCGACCTGCTTTCGTTCGCAGGGGATCTCGCACACTGCTTGCTTGAACAATGCTGCGTATAGAGCTTACGAGAGGCTTACTCACGGTAGCCGCAATCGATGCCACATGGCCCCAACCGCCGGCCAGAAACATTAATGGCACGCTTAAAACCGTGCGAGTCGCTCTGGAGGTATACAGAGAGAGCGTACACTGTGAGGCCACTTGCGGCGTGCCTTTATCCAAAAGGCGACACTGCGTCTTCAATGCCCGGCTGCGGTCCTCTTGAAAGAGGGTCGTTGGACACAAACCAGACGAGCGTGCACGTCTTCTATTTGGGGCGGCTGCCGTGCGGCCCCTGCCGCGTTCGAGTCTCCAGTATTGGCAGGCTTATGTGCGATGCTTTTAGTAACGTGTCTCTATATCACGTGCGGAAGATGATCTTGAGTGCTGTTGCACGGATGCCGTGCCACGCGCTCAATTGACTCATTTATCCTGTCACTGATACAACTGTGGCATGCCCGCCGGGGTGGCTCCGGGGAATATGCGTAACTTTGACGCGGTAGAGCGCGATGTCGCGACTTCGCTTCTTTCCCTGGGCAGCGTTGATTTGATGGGTTAATCAGATTGTTGCCTTGGCACGTGGAACTCGGTAAATTTTGTAAGATATATGGCTGCAGAAAAAATGGAAACGTACACGTGGGTATATGGACGATGACGGTATCAGGACAGTCGACTCGTACGAACCGTTCTTAACATGGTTCCACTAAATGACCAAAACATGAATTATAGAAGACAACAAGATGAGCTGCGAAAATTTTCATGAGGTTGATTGGATATATACGAACTGGAAGAATGAAGACACGTACAGATGACAGTGTTCAGCAATAGTCGGCAGAATCATAGGAGCGTATAGCCTTTTTTACGTGTTTTAGGGGGCGGGGGGAGGGGGTGAGAGTTCAACCATAGTTTGCGTATATTCGTGCGTGTGTTTGTATGCGTTCATCTTTATAAACGCAAACAAAATTCAAAAATTTTGCAAGAAGGGCGGGGGGTTTGAATATTCTTTGGCTACGTTCATGGACAGAACTCACAAAATGGGACGGACATTAAATCGTGAGGCTGAAAGAAACTTGTAAGGCTGATTGATAAATAGAGAGGTAATTTACTTGTAGCTAAAGGTTGATTGATTGATTGATTGATTGATTTGTGGGGTTTAACGTTCCAAAACCACCACATGATTATGAGAGACGCCATAGTGGAGGGCTCCGGAAATTTTGACCACCTGGGGTTCTTTAACGTGCACCCAAATCGGAGCAAACGGGCCTACAACATTTCCGCCTCCATCGGAAATGCAGCCGCCGCAGCAGGGATTTGAACTCGCGACCTGCGGGTCAGCAGCTGAGTACCTCAGCCACTAGACCACCGCGGCGGGGCTTGTAGCTAAATGTCTTGGATTGACTTGCTGAAGCGTTTGTTACACTATGATGAAAAATAGCGGAAAGAAAAGGAAGCGAACGATGAAATTTCTGTATTTCAGTTAAGAAGGTTATTGTTGAATCCTGCCGTACATATATGAGAAATTACTAGTCTTCAAGCCGAGAAATGGCCGTTGTGTCTCGGACCTTTTCTGCCTCTTACAAACGTTATACTATATACGTTCGCCATTTATGAATAAGTGTGATTCAGAGCTGACACGAGTGCCGTGGTTATCGGGCTCGTTGATTTCCGGGGCCATCGTTTTGACCAGTGTGCTTTCTCTTCCGCGCAGGCGAACGTGATCCAGGCCGAGAAGAGGGGCAAAGGCCGAACGGGCTGGCCACAACACGTCTGGGCGCTGGAGCTCAAGCACGACGCCTGAGAACTGTCGCCTACGCGTCGGCCGACTTTTCACGCGACTGGACCTCGGTGCATGACGATGCTGCTGCTCATGCTGCGGCTGCTGCTGTTGCTGCTGGTATCTGATACCTATACACCGTCTAGTGACTTGCAGTTGAATCAGACCGAAGAAGTAGCTCTGCGGTGGGTCGACATCTGCAACGAGGCTTTGAATATGGTGCGCTGCCGAGCGAGACAAAATGTGATCTGTGAATGGAAAGCTTTTTTTCCCCCTTTCTTTTCCCACCGAAGAATCTGTGCTACGCGCTTCCAAATGGGACATTGTCTAGCACCTGTCAAGCCGGTTGTTCTTTGTGCACGCCAGCTGCCCTGCAAGCGCGCATATTTCCTGAAGTATACTTGTGGTAGAGAGGGATTCGTTCATTATAGCATCGACCTCAGAAGCATGCACTGTGCTCAACGCCACTGTTCTGCAGTGAATAAAAAGAATTGATTTGTTTAAGCGCACAGATCATGGACCCAGTACAGTTTTGAACCTTCTGGTCAACCGCAAACTTCGAAGCGTTGAATGCACAATCGTAAGCACATACGTAACTATAGTGGAAATGCATAACGAGCACGAGGTTAGTGTGGTTATAGTTATACAAGCGAATACTATAGCGTCCTGCCGTGCGGCGCTGTGCTACATCGTGATAGTTGATACCAAAGCCAGACGTGGTGTGTTCCTATAGGTATAGAGTCCTTTTTTTAATTGTTTTTCTATACTAACTCGCAAGGAGCCATTCCTTTAACCGGTGCCTGGTACCAAACGAACAGAGTTTAAAGCTATATATACGTCCGCGGAAGGTAATATGTCGGAATCCCTGACGCCCAGTCAAAGGGAACTATGCGTATACGTCCTACACGCAATGGCTGTCGATGTGGACACGTGTGGCCGAATGCGGCGCCAAGCCCCGGCCGTGTACGAGGCAAAAGTCCAGGTCACAAGCGGAGCCGTCACCAAGAGGAAGAGAAACACGCATTTGCGCGAACTCGCTCCCGGCGAAGAACTGCACGCGAAAAGAGGTGTTATATTTCCCCGCGGTGGGTCAACCCTGCAATCACTCTTACGTGCTCATGCATGAAGCCAACTCTCGAATCGACCACACACACTGCACGGAAATTTTCGCCACCGAGAAGAGACGCCCAGTGGGACTGTATACGACGTGCCGATGGAACTTATGTACAGCGATGGCCGCCTATCTGTGTGTATACGTGTACGAATGTGCGCGGCAGTGACCTGTTCTGTCCGTGACATTGTGTTATTCGCAATGGATAAGTAGCGAGCATTATGATGTTATGCAAGGGGAATCTTTAAGCTGACAAAGCTATAAGGCAGCAGAAACGTTGATAACTATTAACGAATGCTCTGTTTTACCGTAAGCGTGCTCAGTTTTACTACCCTTAACTGGCCAAACATGGACGCCAGTAATTGTCAATTACACAATAATTCGTTTCGTTAACAAAGGGGACCGAAGTCAAATGAATCTGTAGATTGGCATTTGAGCTTATCTGCTCCCTATCAGTTTTCCAAACTGTTGTGAAGGTTACTTGTAATGCCATGATATAATTTTCGGCACCTTAAATCCTTCGCTTATATATACATGTACATCCAGGCGATGTTATGGGCATATTTAAAGGGCTGTTGTCTCCTGCCATTGAGAATCAACCAGCACATGTACTGCACCATGTCTTTTTCTCAAATGCAAGACTTCTTCACCGTAATGCGAGCCAGCGCCTGATGACAATACTCAAATGTCCTTTGTCAAAAGCAAAGAAATTGCTTCTCTGCCTTGACGCTTCAAGTAACACTGCAGGTGAGTTTTCGCTCTCTTGCAGCCGATGAAGTTGTATGACAGAAAACTTGAAACACGCCACCTTTGACGATTACGCTTACTATGCCAAAGATGGTGATATCGTTTCTGTCTTGTAAATACGTGCGTAGTTCTTGCCTTGCTTATAAATTTTATTGAAATGAAGACTAATATTGGAATTTTACAGTACTTTGTCCTTTTTGTGTAGGTTTACTACAAGGTCCCAAGGTGTTTACGAAATCTGTTATCATTTATACCTTACTTAAGTGCAATGGTTTCCTTTATTTATCAGTGAGATTTGTTTCGAAATAAAGGCAGCATTATGTATCTCATGTCCTTCTTTTACTAAGGCGAGAACCTCAAGTGCCTCATCAGACAAAAAATTCAGCGTACTATAAAGGAACTCACGTCACCTCGTACACAATAAGAAATAAAGACCATGGTTCAAGCCTTCATCGAACCCAGGCATCCTGCATGTATGCCGACATTCTACCGCAGAGCCACGCCAGCGCTATATTGGTCGAGGGAGTCACGTTAACATATAATATTGACAGAAATGAGTAGTAAAGCCGTACAGGCGTCATAGTGCTGAATTAAGTAACGAGCGAGTGGTTTAAAGCTGTGCACCCATTATAAATGGCTGAGTCATAATTCAGCATCATAAGCACCCACAATATCCACATGGTGTGCAGCTGTAGCTAAAAATTTCTTTACTGGCATGCAGTGGATACTTCACTACTTCACAAAATGATAACAATGAACGAATGACTCTGTCCTTCAAGTCGTCTTTATTGAACGAACGCACTAAAGATCTTGTGAGCTTTCTCTCTATCTCTCTCTGTGTGTGTGCGCTCTGTGTGCGTGTGTGTGCGTGCGTGCTTGTGTGTGTGTGTGTGTGTGTGTGTGTGTGTGTGTGTGTGTGTGTGTGTGTGTGTTCGCGTTGTACGACATATATGGCACCCAATTTCGGAAATGTCTGAAGGTTTACATGTTCATTTTCTATTTGGTTCAAGTGATTTTCAAGAATGATTGCAAGCCGGAAGGCTACAATGACACAAAATTATTTCACTAAACCTTAAATTGATTAACGGCGAACCATTAGCCGAAGCTTCTCAGGCTGGATGAAAATAAAGTGACAAAAACTGGCGAGTGGTAACGCTGCCTTCATGTTTCCGAAGAGTTCAGCTTGAAACTCCCAGACTTTGGTGTTCTGGCGGTACAGATATGGCGTATTATAGGATTTTTTGCGTCCAAGTACCCCTTCTTGGAGTACTTGGACGCAGAAATTTCGATGTTTAGAGCAAAAGTTCGCCGATTTCGAGCACGATGAACTTTACTAAGAAATATATTTGGGCTTCACCGGTTCCAACGGAACTAATTCTGTCGTTCCACTTGTATGTCTTCCAAACGAAACGATTCAGCCACCTGGCCAAAGTTGAAGGTATGTTGTCAATCCGCAGTCTTGCGGCCTTTTCTCGCTACCCCCATATCTCTCAAGGAGGTATGAAAACCTTATTGATTGATTGATATTGAACTGGTGGCTGCGTTCATACTTATGAACATAGTCGATCAAAAAGCAAATATTAAGCATATCTGAGGCGCACCATCAGTAAGTATTAAGTGGTGTGGCCTTTACTAGAAAATACATTGATACGTCATTCGAGAGACTCTAGTGCTTATACAGGGAAACAAATCGCTAACAGAAAAGACACCTAAAAGAAAGAACACTTGAAGAGGTCTAGTATTTCTTAGGCTGCACTGAAAATGCGACGCTGTGCCCGTCTTTCGACGACATTTCAGCGAAGCACGCATATACGCAGTCAATTTTTGTAGGCGTGCCCATATCTTATTGTAAAAGAGATAAAAATTGCATCTGACAGGCTCCGCGAACAAGTCAACAAAGTAACGAAGTATGTGCGAAAGTGTACCTGACATTTGTGATGCCAGTCTGTTGACGGCGCGCTATAATAGGTTTCCGGCGCGAAACAACGGAAAGATAACTTTCACCATCACTTCGACTCTTTAACCGATCGTCGCAGCGGAATTTAGGAAAACAACCTTGCCAGCAATAATCTTTTTCGTCTTTAGTGATTACGTGTTCATCTTCACTAAACATTCTGGTCCGCGTGGCTGGTAAAGTGATGCGATCGGCTGTTGACCCGAAAGTCAAAAGTTCAATCTCGGCCACAGGTCACATCTTGACCTACAGAAAGAATGCCGAAGGCATGTGTATTGGTCGATGTGAATGCACGTAAAAAAAAACACCTGATCGAAATTTCTAGAGCCCTCCACTAATCCGTGCTTCATAATCGTATCGTGGTTCTGACATGTATAAAAGGCGGGTAATTATACCTAACGTTCTTGCTGCAATATACCGCAACATTGCTAAACACCAACTGTAATACGCATTTCTGACTCATTGTCTGCGCAGCCGCGTTCCGTTTCGCACGCGAGATATCTTCATAGTCAGATAATGTAGCCAGCTGAAAACCACGTCCTTTAGGAAATGTCGCTTTCGGAAGCCCTTATTTTGAATACGCACGGGCTGAACAACTGTGCTACACGTGCACGAGGCCTGCTAACCGTCGTATACCTCAAGGTAAGTGCTTCGGCAATCTGTACATGCACATCGTGCAGGCCTTCAAGCTTTATGACAATTGTCAGCGCTTGCAGATGGCAGCCACATTCCGTCAGATGCTGTGGGAATAGGTAGTCAAAGGTTTTGAGAATAGCGGAGCGAAATTTGAAGGAACATGGACGTACAGACTATCATACACACAACGCAGTCGTTGATGTCTGTGTCGTTTGTATCAAAGCTTGGTAATCAGTGTTTTCTTAGATATTGCGTGGCTGTACTCAAGAGCACGTATACAATGTCAGTGGATGAAGTGTACTGAATTAACCGAGGAGCCTTGATATGAACAGCAGGGTAAGACACTTTATGCGTACCTTTTTTTATTTCTTCGGGAAAAATAGACCTTGGAATTACATGCACGCTAGATTCGGGTGCAGACGTTTAAACTGCCCCATAGCTGTATTTTTGTTTTGGGGTCATGAAAGTCAGGTGTGCGTTGGAATCGGGGGCGCGTTGGAATTAGGTAAATACGGTAAGTCCTTGATTCTATGAGTATACACGTAATTTGCCACCCTTCTGGTCTTCCATCGGGTGAGGATAGGATAGAGGCCTCGGCCGTCGATGTTTGACTCGCTTCCTTTTCCATATCGAGTCTTCAGATAGGTCTCGGGTTCAGCATTCGGGCGTAGGGCATGCCGTACTGCACGTGACTAACAGTTGATTATTTCAGGCTAGCTCCAGTTTACGAAGAACTCGGCAGCCATTTACGGAAGGAAATCCATCGAAACACATTTCACCAACAATCCCTCAGTAATAGTCGTCATCGATTTCGTCAAAAAAATGTTCACCATCAAATCGCCATCGATTCCGCATGTGCACTGCACGCTTTATTTAACTCTCGAGCTTATGCTAATGTCCATTAATTAGCGCTGCGTCACACTCGTAATTCACAGCTTGAATGTGACGGTAGGGCACCGTTTGAGAATGGAGATTCGCGGAGTGTAGATAATGGTTATCTTGGGAGGTCGAGATGAGTCACAGAAAAAGCGAGACCTTCATGATATATTGAT